ATCGACACTTCACGTGGCGCCAAAGTGCACCTAGCCTGGCACAGGCGCTGTGGTGATGTCACGGTCACTTTGTGGCGAATGGCGGCTGTGTTGGTATTGGTTTGTGTATGAGACAAGATTGATTTAACCAGATTTACACCTGGCCACAAGTTATGGGGTGCGTCTTACTTCACGAATCATCTTATAATGCGGAAATGACGTTGTTTATTTCATTCATGAAAGATAGCTCCATGGATACACGGGTGCTGTATTGTTCTCAACGTATGCAGGGCTTGCTGTTGTTGTAAGTATAAGAAGTTGTAACCCCACGTGCTTCAATAAAACGTAACGTGTGCACGTTGTTCCCGAACTGTCGTCATCACTGCTGCGTGTTATATCCCCTCGCGTTTGAGCGATGGGTTTTCTCCGGGTTCTCCCGTTTTCCTCCCACGTGGAACTCACTGGCCAAACGTCCCAAATGGAGTGGCACCCCTTCTCGACAAAGGCACCTTGAGACTCAGTGAGGCTGTCCCGTCCTTAAATCATTGTCACGGATAATCCGTGTTATAGGACGCACCCGAATCTTCCACCCAACCTCCTGTATAAATTTTGAAATAAAAAATGAAGTTGAGGGTGCGTCTTATACTCCAAACATCGCCACGAGCAAGACAAAGGCGGCCGGGCGTGGTGCTGGCCACCCAAACCTTCGTGTGCCATGCCGGCCTTCATAGGTGCTACTGGCGAACAGCACTTGCCCCAACAGTCTGCTAAGGCTATACGGAGAGGAGGGATCTTTGTATTTGGTGTAGTAGCGCGCTGCGCTACGACCCGAATTTGATTCCCTCTCACGGCATCAACACCGGTGACGGCGATTATCTGAACCGGTCCTGGGCTGCCCCCAGGTTGAATGAGCCTCAAATGAGCACTTGGCACGGTCTCTGTGCGAGTCTATGCCACCGGTGAGACAAAGGCGGTCGGGCATGGGTGGTGCTAGCCACCCACCGACTCCCTCGTGTGCGTGGCGGCCTCAGCAGTTGCTCGCTGTTTCAAAAACAAATTCTCGGCAGACTCCATCATTAATCGATTTGGTAAATTTAATTATTTCTCGCCCGAAAGGACAATCTGTGTAGGTGGAGAGAGTTGACGGGGAGAAGAGTGAGAGGGGGGGGGGCTGGAGATTAGGGAGGCGGGGCTGGGGGGTGTAACGATGGAACCCTTTCTGCCGAATATTACCACGCCGAGTACAATGCGCAAATACGTTTAGCAGCAAAGGTCAGCCGCGTGTGTGATCAATACCGAGTAATAGTGTTCATGGCGCGGTCTGTGTGTATGTGTGTGATCGAGAGACACACACATGCGAAGACAAAGACTCCCCGTACAGTCTTAAATACTTTCGGGGCAAGTGCTGTTAGCGACGAGCACCTGTGAAGGTCGGCACGGCACACGAGGGGGTGGGTGCCCAGCATCACGCCCGGCCGCCTTTGTCTCCCGAGTGGCGATGTTTACAAACCGCATCCAGGCACACATTTTAGGCTGAGTCGACCTAGGTGAGGCCCAGGACCGGTTCATATGATCACAGCAAAAGACAACGATCCCCCACATAGCCTTTAACAGACTGTTTGGGTAAGTGCTGTAAAGAAAGAAACCGATGAAATCTAACGCGGCACAAGATGTGTATATACTGTGAGTATATGCAGACATTCCTGTGCACATACGTACGTACATTCTGATTCATAGTGAGTAGCAGGGGGTGGGTCATTATTAAACATTTATGTTGGACCTTAAAAAAGTTTTAATCAGGACCCCGGTAGCGACCCCCATCTAACATCGTTGCGATGAGGCTAACATATCACGGTCATGCATAGTACGACCACAACAAACATCCCAAATCGTGAAACGTCGTTCGCTACGTAGAGACCATCCCATTGTATCACAACAACAACCGCCGTTCGCCACAGCGCCTGTGCCAGGCTAGGTGCGCCCTGACGCGTCGAAGCCTCACAGCCGGCAGGAGGCCCCCGCGGTACTTGCCGCACAGGTTCGCGGTTCGACTCTCGCGGCCGCCCTGGTTAACACCGCGGTGCGGTATTGAACCGCGTTCACAGGAACACTACCGCGATGTCGTTCGCACGAGCAGGCCGATGTGTGGTGTACACATGCCGGAGTCTTTCTGGCACACAACCTGCCACTCAAAGTGTCATCATCATCACCACATTAATACTCAATATAAAAAAAGAAAAATGTATACTACAGGGAGGAGAACCCCCCCCCCCCTTTAATATATCAATATAACACAATCAAAATTTGTCAAATTAGAAAATTGCACCCAAAATTACTCAGTTGGAACTGTACAGAGCATCAATTATCGCCCCCTAATACTGGCAAATTAACCCCCCGCCCCGGTCAACCTTGTGAATGATACTCATCGTTGTCTCACGCGTTCTCACCTGCTTCCTCAAAATATACTTGAGACCCGAATTCACCCACACGCCAACTCACGCAGCCACTCAATTGCTCATTCACCAACTCACTCAGCCACTCATTCACTCACTCATAACTCACGCACTTCATTTACCCATTCACCCTCTCGTTCTTCCATTCATTGTCTCACTCGTTCGCCCATTCACCCACCCACTCACACACCCACCCATTCACCAACTCACTCAGCCACTCACTCGCTCACTCAGAGGTCCCACTCATTCACTCACTCGAGAAACCTCACCCACTCAACTCGTTCATCCATTCACCGACCCGCCCACTCACTCACTCACCCAGGTGACTCTTGCGAGTGAGACTATACCCGGGCCTCTCGCGATCTCATCTGCCCACGCAAAGTCGACTTGGAATCCCTTTGACAGCAGCAAAATGATTGCAGAGCGCGCGTGTGCACGCTTCGTTGACTGACAGCAGGCGGCGCTCCCGTGTCGCTATGAGCGGCGGTCTCTCCCCGGAGATTCACCTCCCCCTACCTCCCCCTCCCCTCCCCCTCCCCTCCCCCTCCCCCTCCCCCTCCCCCTCCCCCTCCCCCTCCCCCTCCCCCTCCCCTCCCCCTCCCCCTCCCCCTCCCCCTCCCCCTCCCCCTCCCCTCCCCCTCCACCTCCCCCTCCCCTCCACCTCCCCCTCCCCTCCACCTCCCGCTCATCCTCCCGCCTCTTAGAACCAGCCCCATCCCTACCCCTCCCCTCTTGTAGGACGCGCTTCTCCACCCAACAGACGGATATCAGTATCATCCATGGTCTGTCCACTGCTGGATGGGCAAGGGCTGGACGAATTAAATGTGTACAGACAAATGCGGCGCGGAGTGGTGCTGGCTACGCTACACCGCCACCATCGCCCTTGTTACGCCGTGCCGGTCTTATCTGGACGTTTGTGAAAAAAAAGAGCTTTATAGCTCATCGGATTCCTCCAGTGTAAATACATATTCTGATTTTGATCTAATAGGTGTTCGCCAACAGCACTTACTCCGATAGCCTTTGAAGGATGTGGGAGGCGATCTTCGTCTTTGTGTGCGTGTGTGGAAATTTGATTTGCAATATTATCATCAGCAGTAGTAGCAGTAGCAGCAGCCTTGGTCAATCCACTGCTGGATGAAGGTCTTCCGTTAAAGCGGCTACCGCCACTCCTCGCGATCCTGAGATAGCAACAATCCAGCCAGCATGCGAGCTGATTTAATAGCTCCGTCTCCACGGACACAGCCCTTTGGGGACTAATTAAGTGAGGGGTGGGGCAGGGCAGACAATGGAGGCGGGGGTTGGGGGCGGGGGATGGGGGGGGGCACGTAGCCGGGCTGGGCAGACAATGGGGGGGAGGGTGAGGACGAGGGTGGGGGGGATGCATGGGTAGGTGAATGCTGGGTGAGTGACATGGATTGGGTGGATTCGCGTGGTTCGGGCGCGTGAGCGGCTATGCGTGTGGTGGGTTTGTTCGTCGCTTCGGCGTGCGGTTTGATTCAGAGGTAGTTTGACAAGCGGATGGTCGTGCGGATTGGTCGATGTTTAGGAGGTTGGGTTGGTGCTTTCGTGGCTGGATGGGGGTGGGGGTTTTTTAATTGGGTAGGGGGTTGGTCCTGTCGTGGGACGGATGGTTGAGTTTCTCGGTGGGTGGTTTGTTGAGTGGGTGGTTCATTGGCTATGTGGCTAGTTAGGTGGGTGATGCGTTGGGTGGGCGATTAATTGGGTGGCGGGTTCGTTGGGTAGATGGTTTGTTGGGTGGCTGTTTAGTTGGGTGGTTAGTTGGGTAGGCGGTAAGTTGGGTGGGTGGTTAGTTGGGTGGGTGTTTAGTTAGGTGGTTAGATGGGTGGTTAGTTGGGTGGGTGTTTAGTTGGGTGGTTATTTGGGTGGTTAGTTGGGTGGGTGTTTAGTTAGGTGGTTAGATGGGTGGTTAGTTGGGTGGGTGTTTAGTTGGGTGGTTATTTGGGTGGTTAGTTGGGTGGGTGTTTAGTTAGGTGGTTAGATGGGTGGTTAGTTGGGTGGGTGTTTAGTTAGGTGGTTGGATGGGTGGTTAGTTGCGTGGTTAGTTGGGTGGTTAGTTGGGTCGGTGGTTAAGTTGGGTAGGCAATTAGTTGGGTGGGTGGTTAGTTGGGTGGGTGATTAGTGGGGTGGGAATTTAGCAGGGCGGACGGTTAGTTGAGTGAGTGGTTCATTTGCTATGCGGCTTGATAGGTGAGTGATTAGTTGGGAGGGTGGTCAGGTGGGTGGATGGCGAAGTGGTTGTGTGTGTGGGATTATGGGGAGCGATAGTGTAGCGGTTAGCGCGCTGTGGTACGAACCTGGCGACCTTGGTTCGATTCCCGCTAACGGCCAACACCAGGGACGATTATTCGAACCGGTTCTGGGCCTCCGCTAGGTCGACTCAGCATCAAATGAGTATCTGGCGCGGTGTGCAAACATCGTCACTGGGGAGACAAAGGCGGCCGGGCGTGGTGTTGGCCACCCACTCCCTCGTGTGCCGTGCCGGCCTTCATAGGTGCTCGCTAACAGCACTTGCCCCAGCAGTCTGTCAAAGCCATAAGGGGGATCTTTATCTTTGGGGTTAAACCAAGAGGGCGTTTCCACAGAATGACGGTCGAATCGGGTTGCATCCCCCTCCTTCCTCCTCCATCGCCATCCCTGTCCCCTCATCCCCCCCCCCTCCCTCGCTGTCGGACACGCGAGAGGTGTAGACGCTTCTGTCGGCTTTGCCCTCCTCGCATGCCGATGCCGCTGCCGATGCTGCGATAGCTCCCGGGCGCCGTGACGAGGAGTCGTACACAAAGTCACCGACACCCGCCCGGCTTCCCTGACGATGCCACCGTCCGAGCAGAATCGGCCCGCCTCACCCTCCTCACCCCTGTCGGTGAGCAGTGATTGCCGTCCGCTACTCACCACCCACACCACAACTCACCGTTGCCCATCTCAGATTCGCTGCCCCGGTCATCACCCGCCCAGCCACCTCGCGCGCTCAACTCGCCGATGCTGCTCTGCTCACCCAAACTCAGCATCCGTTCATCCGGTTCATCGCTAGTGACCCGCTCACCACTACTCACCCGCTCACCACTACTCACCCCCTCTCCCCTACTCGCCACTCACCGCTACTCTCCACTCACCGCTACTCACCACTCACCGCTACTCTCCACTCACCACTACTCACCACTCTCCCCTACTCTCCACTGACCGCTACACTCCACTCACCACTACTCACCACTCACCACTACTCTCCACTCACCACTACTCACCACTCTCCCCTACTCTCCACTCACCTCAACTATCCACTCACCACTACTCACCACTCACCACTACTCTCCACTGACCGCTACACTCCACTCACCACTACTCACCACTCACCACTACTCTCCACTCACCACTACACTCCACTCACCACTACTCACCACTCACCGCTACACTCCACTCACCGCTACACTCCACTCACCACTACTCTCCACTCACCACTACTCTCCACTCACCACTACACTCCACTCACCGCTACACTCCACTCACCACTACACTCCACTCACCACTACTCACCACTCACCACTACTCTCCGCTCAACCGCTACTCTCAAATCCCACTCCCTCGTGGTCTCGACCAGGGCACACGCGTTGGTAATCGTCCATTGCCACACACGTGCCCCTGTGCTCTCATGTTCTCGACTTCTGCCGTTGCGACCACGCACGGATGAGCTGTAGCCCGCAGTCTTCATCTTGACGACGGTGCTGCTGCTGGCGATGATGAGGAGTCTCATTACCATCGATCGTGGTGGTAGTGGTGGTTCATCTTTCTGATGATGAGTGTGGACGCGATTATCGTGATGGTCGTTGTGGTAGTGATAATGGTGGTGGTTATTAGTCACGATAATTGTGGTTATCATGGTGATAGTGGTGTTGGTGGTGGTGATGATGATGCTGGTAGCTATAGTGGTGGTGATAGTGGTGGTGGTAGTTGTGATGATGCTGGTAGTGATGAAGGCAATGCTTATCATGATGATGGTGGTGGGTGATAGCGGTTTTGGTGGTAACAATGGTAATTGTGATGAAGATCGTGGTGGTGGTGGCGGTGATGGTGATAGTGGTGGTGATCATAGTGGTGATTATTATCATCATGACGATGATTGTGGTGGTAGTGGTGGTCGTAGACTGCAAAGACCCAAACGAACGTGGCCATGCCACGGTACTAATTCATCCGCAGTTCGCCGACCAATCCCAGTGGGATCGGTTCGCCCGAGCGAGCTGTTGCACTGTTGTGCGGCTAGGGATAGCATCGGTAGTGGTGGTGGTGGGAGCGCTGATTAATTACACATTGATGAGATGCGGGCATCCGAAGATGCGCGCGTGTTGGAAAGCGTGTTCCAGAAATGCATGCGGGTTGTTGTCTTTCCCCCATTCCCCAAAACATTGATGTTGTTGTTGTTGTTGTCAGAAACGACTCGAACCGGTCAGAGTCCAAACATCTTCCAGTTTTTCATATATATAAAGGTCGCACTTGTTATGAAGGTCGCACTCGTTATCAAGTTGCTTGCCGCGAATGAACTGCGGTTCCTCGCTGATCTCGCTCAAGGAGCGTAAGCCATCGCGGCTGTGGCAGCAACGCGGAGCCATCGGACAAAGACGGCCACCGCTTTCAGATGCGCTTCTGCGGCCGTCTGGAACGCTCTTTCCCTCCGATATTAGGAAGCCACTGGGACCTGTCCAACCGTTAAATCGTCATCTAGATTGGAAACTCATTTCGTTAGTACTGGCCTTTTGTGTTTAGTTTAACACGTAGTGCTTTCGCGATCAATATCATCCATAACAGAGGTTTTTTTGGTTGAGAATCGCGTCAATATGGAAATGTGTCGTTAAACCCGCCACCACCCGACACAGCCAACTCGCAAGGGTTGTCACGTAACAGAACGTGGCCAATTCGTCACGAGTACAGCACACCGGTGGGTTGGAGAGCCAAGCCCCAACATTTACAATCCGAGTAACGACGTTGTGTTTAGTTTGTCGTGTTTAGTTCGTCGCCCTTCCCCTGCACCTCCGATCATGACGGCTGGACGTGCACGGCGCTAATGAAGTTCTGCATGCTTGCAGTTTCCGAGGGACAGGCACCACGAGTCGGGCAGTAGCGGTGTCTCGGCAGTGCGCGCATCTGTGAGCAACAGCGCATCTCGTCATCTGGCAGTTACGCTTGTGTGTGTGTGTGTGTGTCTTCTCGTAGGTCGACTCAGCCTCAAATGAGTAGCAGGTGCGCTGTGCAAACATCGCCACTGGGGAGACAAAGGCGGCCGGGCGTGGTGCTGGCCACTCAACCCCTCGTGTGCCGTGCCGGCCTTCATAGCTACTCGCTAACAGCACTTGCCCCAACAGTCTGTTAAGCCAATGCGGGGGATCTTTGTCTACGTCTCGTATTGCGAGGAACGGTAGTGTCGCGGTTAGCGCTACGAACCCCAGCGAACGACTTTGATTCCCGCTCACAGCGCGAAGTCGATGACGAATATCTGAACCGATATTGGGTCTCACCTAGGTCGACTCGGCCTTAAATGAGTACTTAGTGTGGTGTGTGAACATCAGAATTGGGGAAACAAAGGCGGCCGGGATGCGTCTCGGTCTTACTCATGAACACACGGAAACGCGCCGCCCCGATGGGTAACACACAGCCACACGGACGCACACATAGACAAAGATTCCCCCTATGTATAGCCTTCACAGACTGTTCTGGCAAGTGCTGTTAGTGAGCACTTATGAAGGCCGGGACGGCACACGTGGTGGTGATTAGCCAGCACTACGCCCGGCCGCCTTTGTCTCTCACGTGGGAATCTTTCCACATCGTACCAGATAATAATTTGAAGCCGATCCGTCCAGGACCGGTTCAGATAATTGTCACCGATCTTTGGCCGTGAGCGGGAATCAAACTCGGGTCGTCGGATTCATAGCGACGCGACCGCACCCACACACGCACAGGAGCACACAGACAGAGACAAACACCCGCCTCATAGAATTCACATACCGTTCGGGGCAAGTGCTGTTAGCGAACGCCGATGAAGGGAAACACGCGACTATCACCTCGCCAGGCCGCCTTTGTCTCCCCAGTGGTGATATGTACACACCCCAACAGGTACTGCTTTGAGGCTGAGTCAACCTAGGGGTAACCAAGCATTGGTTCAGATATCAATCGCCACCAAATGTAAAGCCGTGGTCTGGAATACACACAGCTGACACGCGGTCTCACACAGCTGACACGCGGTCTCACACAGCTGACACGCGGTGCCACACAGCTGGCACGCGGTGTCACACAGCTGACACGCGGTCTCACACAGCTGGCACGTGGTGTCACACAGCTGACATGCGGTGCCACACAGCTGACACGTTGTCTCACACAGCTGACACGTGGTGTCACACAGCTGGCACGCAGTGTCACACAGCTGGCACGCAGTGCCACACAGCTGACACGTGGTGTCACACAGCTGACACGTGGTGTCACACAGCTGACACGCGGTCTCACACAGCTGACACGCGGTGCCACACAGCTGACACGCGGTCTCACACAGCTGACACGCGGTCTCACACAGCTGGCACGCTGTGTCACACAGCTGACACGCGGTCTTACACAGCTGACACGTGGTGTCACACAGCTGACACGCGGTGTCACACAGCTGGCACGCAGTGTCACACAGCTGACACGTGGTCTTACACAGCTGACACGAGGTGTCACTCAGCTGACACGTGGTGTCACACAGCTGGCACGAGGTGCCACACAGCTGACACGCGGTGCCACACAGCTGACACGCGGTGCTACACAGCTGACACGTTGTGTCACAGAGCTGACACGCGGTACCACACAGCTGGCACGTGGTCTCACACAGCTGACACGCGGTGCCACACAGCTGGCACGCGGTGCCACACAGCTGACACGCGGTGCAACACAGCTGACACGCGGTCTCACACAGCTGACATGCGGTGTCACACAGCTGACATGCGGTCTCACACAGCTGACACGCGGTCTCACACAGCTGACACGCGGTCTCACACAGCTGACACGCGGTCTCACACAGCTGACACGCGGTCTCACACAGCTGACATGCGGTCTCACACAGCTGACACGCGGTCTCACACAGCTGACACGTGGTGTCACACAGCTGACACGCGGTCTTACACAGCTGACACGTGGTCTCACACAGCTGACACGCGGTGCCACACAGCTGACATGCGGTGTCACACAGCTGGCACGCAGTGTCACACAGCTGACACGCGGTCTTACACAGCTGACACGCGGTGCCACACAGCTGACACGCGGTCTCACACAGCTGACACGCTGTCTCACACAGCTGACACGTGGTGTCACACAGCTGGCACGCGGTGCCACACAGCTGACACGCGGTGCCACACAGCTGACACGCGGTCTCACACAGCTGACACGTGGTGTCACACAGCTGACACGCGGTGCCACACAGCTGACACGCGGTGCCACACAGCTGACACGCGGTCTCACACAGCTGACACGCGGTGCCACACAGCTGACACGTGGTGCCACACAGCTGACACGTGGTGTCACACAGCTGACACGCGGTGCCACACAGCTGGCACGAGGTGCCACACAGCTGACACGTGGTGTCACACAGCTGACACGTGGTGTCACACAGCTGACACGAGGTGCCACACAGCTGACACGCGGTGCCACACAGCTGACACGCGGTCTCACACAGCTGACACGTGGTCTCACACAGCTGACATGCGGTCTCACACAGCTGACACGCGGTCTCACACAGCTGACACGTGGTGCCACACAGCTGACACGTGGTGTCACACAGCTGACACGCGGTGCCACACAGCTGGCACGAGGTGCCACACAGCTGACACGTGGTGTCACACAGCTGACACG